GAGATTGATTGAGATTTGTCTGAGGAATGATGGAATGCCGGCCTTCCTGCCTCGGGCTTTAAAGATCCTGGGCTCCGATACAGACTCTCGGGTCTGCAGAATGAAATGTTAGTCCAGGCAAGCTGCGGGAAAGGGGCTGCCTACGATTGGCTGTTCCCCATGCTCCAGAAGAGGTAGAATCAGTGGAGAGCCAGTGGGGAGATGCTCCATGGGGCCCTTGGGTAAGGGACTCACTGAGGGATGTCGGCGCAGTTTGAATGACCACACTGAGCAGATGGAGGAGGCAACCAAGTCTAGCCTGTCATGAAGTCAAAGCCCACTCAAAGCCTGCCATTTCTTCTGCTTCCCCACTTTGGGAATGTGGCTGCTGCTTCCTCCTGGTAGTCAGCTGTTCACAGCTCTCCTGCATTGGTGGGGAGAGGGGTAGGCCTTCATGCAGCAGAACTGGTGAGAGCCAGAACCGGGCAGGGCTCAGTACCGCCTTGTTTCGTGGGTCTTGAATTCGCTGGGCTGTGGTTTGACCAGTTTTCCGTCCCTCGTTTTAGTGCAAACGACTTGGTTTTCCTTCTCTGACAGGTTTCTACTTTACACAGGTTCTGGCTTTCGTAGGTTCTGATGAAAAGAACCTTTCACAGACGAGGAAGAACCTCCATCTACTAGATATGTGGGGGTGTAGATACGTGTACATGTAGATATGTGGAGGTGTAGATACGTGGAGGTGTAGATACGTGGAGGTGGGTGTAGTGTATATACACAAGGTACACATGCCTGTCCAGACACACGAGGGCTTCAAAGTTGGTGCAAAAATTCCATTATTTTTTTTAATTCAGCTTTTCTGTCGTTTTTGAGGCACCCTTGTAATTGTTTTACACACACACACACGGCAGACATTCGGAAACTGTCTGAAGAAGAAAGTCTCACGAGGCATACATTTGTGGGACCATCCGCCAAACACGTTGATACCCAGTTTTCAATAAGTTGGGGGGATGCTGTGTTATTCCTTGGGTGACGCGGTTGGCATCCAGTCGAGGTGTCTGTCATGTTAGATTTTCACCGAGCACGGCTTCAGTGGTTCTATGTCTTGGCTCACTTGTAAGAGTGTCTCTTGAGAACAAGGAGGAGTCTATTTGTGTAAAGCTCTGAATAAATGTTATCAGCTGGGTACCCCCCCCACACACACACACAACCCAGAAAGGTTGAGAAATCTGCCCCTGCACGCCGCATGCCCAGCTGCCCAGCACTTCTGAGTTGTGGTCTTGTCCGCCTTTCCATTTTGGGTCAAAACTCCAAACGCCATTCACCGTCAAGCTGATTCTATCTCAGGGTGACCCCTTGTGTATCGGGGCAGAACGGCAGTCCACGGGGCTTTGACCCTCTGTGGCCTTTCAGCTTAGGCCACCAGTCAGGCCTTTCTTCTGAGCTGCCTCTGGGTAGATGCAAACCTCTAGCCCTCAAGTAAGTTAGGCCCTTAATGGGGCCACCAAAACCAATCCAAGCAAGCCTGGTGCCAGCTAGTTGATTCTGACGCACACCAAGCAACCCTGCAGAACAGACCAGCACTTCCCCAGTGGGTTTCCGATGCTGCACATCTTTACAGAACAGAAAGCCTCATCTTTCTCCTGTGGACCACCTGGGAGATTCCCCCAGCCGGCCTCGTGGTGGGTAGCCCAGTGCAGAACTCACCAGGTCACCCTCGTGCCTAATCCCCACTCAGCTGACAGACAGTACCAGGGCTGATCACTGTGTTGCATCCCTTGGGTCCTGATCACAGGTTGTCCCACTGGCAGTTTGTACTTGGTGATTAGTATTCAGTGTCATTTTCTGTTGGAACATCGGTCTACTTTTTGAGTTCTTCCTTTTTTTTTTTTTTAGTATTAGTGTTGTTCATGCGTGTAGTGCAGTGCCCCCACCTCTCCTGCCATTTGACGAGGACACTGTGTATTTTATGATCGTGTTAAGGTCCCCGTGGCACAGAGGGAGGAAGCCGTGGCATCTGCCTCTGTGCAGATGACCATCCTGGACACCCTACCGGCAGGCGACCCTCTGCCCGGCGGCTGTGTTTGGAGCGCATCATCTAGAGGCAGCAGGGGGTGTTAGAGTGAGAGCGGGATTGATGACTAGTTTTCTACATGAATGTGTTCTGCTTTTGCACCATCCTTTAAACATCCTACCCATTCCCAACCCGCCCCCCCAAACTTATTAACTTCATCCACATCTTCTTATTGGTTTTAATTTCCTTTTGGAATGGATTTGATTTTTCACATCTCTCCATCTCAGGCTTATTTCGGTGTGATGGGCCCTTGTGTGTGCCTGTGTCTCTGAGTCTGCTGGTAGAGATCCTTTGTCGGCTTGGCGCTGTCATTTCTGCCTTTATAACATACCTCGCGAGCTGGCGGGACAAGTCTCTCCAAAACAGTGGTTCTCCACCTTCCTGATGCTGCGACCCTGGAATACAGTTCCTCATGTGGTGGTGACCTCCCCCCCTCAACCATAACATTATTTTTGTTGCTACTTCATAACTGTTGTGAGTCAGGCAACCCCTGGGAAAGAGTGGTTCGGCCCCCAAAGGTGTCGCAACGCCCAGGTTGAGAACCGCTGCTCTAAAGGCTGTGTGTGTGAGAAGGGGAGAGAAGACCAGGCACACTGATGGTTACCTTCTCTTTGAAACTGCACTGTCTTCCCTTCGACTGAGGCTGTGTCCATGGGATTTGCTCAAAGGCTGGCATGGAACAGGGATGCTTAGAAGTAGGGCTCCTCTGTTCCCTGAATCATTAAAAACATCTTTTTATTTGTATTTTTTTTTCAGTCAGGTTCCTGGGCTCTTCAAACATGATCTCTAGAAGTTGGGTTTTAGGAAACTGATTTTATGCACTTCCCAGGCGATTCTTGGGCTGGGCATAAGAAACGGAACCCTCAGATCAGACGTGTGAGCTGCAGCCACGTTGCATTTGGTTTAGCTGGTCAACCTCGCTGCAGCCACCCACCACCTTTCTGTGGCTCATGTGCGCACCCAGGTGTTTTGTTCCCTTTGCCTCCCTCCACAGCGTACTTATCGTCATTGCAAGTGTTTGTGTGCCCGTCAAAGGCAGGCCGTTGATTGCAGGCTGACGGCTTCCTAACTGTGCCCTTCTGTGCCCACCACTTGTTCTCCTTCAGATACAAGAGTACCCCATTGACGTCCAAAGCAACCAGCTGCCTTTCCTGCGGAATCCAGATATCTTGGTGGGAGAGAATGACCTGACAGCCCTCAGCTATCTGCACGAGCCTGCAGTTTTGCACAATCTGAAGGTCCGTTTCCTGGAGTCAAACCACATCTACACTTACTGTGGTGAGTGGAGGGGCATCTGCAGGCTGCACGTCTCTGGAAGTGTAGACAGCCCGTAGCTGTCTCTGTATTCAGTGCCTAGGCCATAGAACAATGCCCGGTGAGCCCACTGATATACCTGGATTTAGTTGAGAGGTTGCTTCCGCATATTCTGTCCCCCGCTGCTGGATGTGTGTTTTGACGTCTCTGAATGGGGCCATTGAACAGCTGGTGCCAGGTGGCCAGTAGTTACCAGAAGGTAACGACTTTATTATATGTGTTGCAGGTATTGTACTTGTTGCCATTAATCCGTACGAACAGTTGCCAATATATGGACAAGATGTCATCTATGCTTACAGTGGCCAAAATATGGGCGACATGGACCCCCACATCTTTGCTGTGGCAGAAGAAGCCTACAAGCAGATGGCCAGGTGTGGATAATCTCAGCTCAGAGGCTCTTCTGGGTGGTCGGGGGTGGTGGGGTGGTGGGGTGGTGGGGGTGGTGGGAATGATGGGATGGGGGTTGGAGGGGGAACTCTCCTTCCTTTGCTACTGTTGCTCACTGGGTGGAGTGGTGAGACTGGGATGGAGGAAACTTCTTAGATACTCAACCACCCAAGTCCTATGTCTTATTGTACGTGGTTACTCAGGTGTGTTTCTTGTTTGCATGAACCCAGAACTAGGCTTGGGGAGGAGCCACCCCCAGGGCTTCTATGTTTGAGCAGCTGGAATACACCTCTTGCATCTCCTACCTCCTTGACTTCCTTTGGGCTCTCTTCTCTCCCTTCCTGGTTTAAGGGACTGTTTCTGAGCAACAGTTCTCAACCTGTGGGTCGCGACCCCTTTGGGGTTAGAACACCCCTTTCACAGGGGTTGCCCGATTCATCACAGTAGCAAAATGACAGTGATGAAGTAGAGAATCATTTTATGGGGTGTGGGTGTCATTACAACATGAGGAACTGTGTTGAAACGTCCGGCATTAGGAAGGTTGAGAACCACGGCTCTAGAGCTCCCTCTGCCCTGTCCCTAGGCGAGCTGAGCTGTATGCTCTTGAAGGCCGCCTTCTACAGTAACCAAGACTCCGTGACAGCTCTTTGAGAGCCCAGGCACTTGGGGCATAAATGGAAATTGGGAATCTGTCATCTTTACAGTTGGGTTTTGAGCCTGAAAGTAGAGTTCTCTCTACATGCTTAGAGATCTTCCCATGTTCGCTGTTCATTTCTAGCTCCGGGAAAAAAAATAGATACAAGACTGTGTCATCCAAAAATGGACTACGGGATGGCTGTGAACTGCACACACACGAAGCCTGGAAAGAGGGTGTACGTGCCCGGGGGGAGTGCATATACCAATTACCAATAAAATACTGAACCCTTTCTGCCAAATCCTTCTCTTTCCCTAGCATGGCCATCTTCAGGGGGACTGTTAGGCTAATTTAATTAAAGGAGGGATTGCTTTTTGTGGGAGGAGACTCTCCTTGAAGGTGGTTTGTGCTTCAGTGAGTTGTGTAGTATAATGTGCAGCCCGGTGGAGGTTCCCACGAAGGAAGATTGTTTTATAGGCCTTCTTACTGATTTCCAATGTTTTATGGCTGACTGTAAAAGCCCGTTTCTTCCTGGCTATACAGTGACTGTGTTCAGACGCAGCTGTGATGAGGAAATCTAATAAGCAGAATGACCCATCACCCATTTTGTCTCTCCTAATGTGGTAAGAATATGCGGACCAGATTGATTGCAACCTGTGGCCTCCTGAGGGCCATGATGACGCACACAGTATTGGTCTGCCATGGGGACGTCAGAAATCGCTCAGCTTGGCCACTCTGTTACAGTTCTCTTCCCAACTGCACCTGTGGTTCACAGTCAAATGCTGGGGACAGGGGTCGTGCACTGGGCAGCACAGCACCTCGCCCTCCTTGTGTATTGCTACTCAAGGTCAAGTGCAGGACGAGTGAGGGAGGCCTGGAGGCCAGACAGATGTCTGCACCTCGAGAACAGACATTAAGCGAAGTCATAGTTTGTCTTCCTCCTTTACAGAATAGCTTCTTTACGACTTTGGAACCAAGAGAGGGGAGTCTGCAGTCGCTGGGTTCTGATCATTTCTACCGTGCTAAAGATTCCAACAGCTCTTTAACATCGTCCTTTCTTGAGGTCCATTAATATCTGTGTGTGTGTGTGTGTGTGTGTGTGTGTGGTTTGGGTATTCATCAACATTTATCCACCAAATCCATGGTCCATTGCAGAACCCATCCCCATTGTGTTGTGTCCCCTACATGGCCATCCCCTCATTCAAACAACGCCCTTTCCACTTCCTCCCTATGTTCCTGGTTCCCACTTGACCTTCACTCATGCCCCTTCCTGCCATCTGGGCTTTGCTTTGGGGGCCCTTCATCTTTTGGGGGGCTTCCTCTCCGTCGCCTCTTGTTGCATCTGCTGCCTTCAGGTGTATCAGAGCTGCCGGGCTTCCCTTCACCAGAGGCCTTTCGAGGTCCAACGGTCAGTCGGAGACTCTTCTCCCCTCCCACTGCGTCCATATCGTAGACCCTCTTGCTGGAGGCTTCCATGCGTCGTGGCCGAAGCTGGTCCTACAGTTCGTCTGCACATGAGTCTTTTTACCCGGCTGGGGCCTTGTGTGCACTGCTCAGAAGGAGAGGGCCCATCGGCGGCTAGGTGGTGGCACTGCCGTCTGGCCTACGGCAATGCACTGAAAGATTTGAGTGTTTGACGGTTCCAGTTGGAGTAGGATCTGCTTTGTTTCAGCTTTTCGGGTTTATTCGTTTTAGCCTGCCGAGTTCCAAGGTGGGGCCAAACCGTTTTGCTGAAACTCATATGCAAGGTGTGCTCAGGAGCGTGCATGAGATGAATAAGAGTGGCACGTGCGGGCAGCCACAGGAGAGAGTTATTTTTGAATGAGTTCTGTTGTCAGCAGCTCGGGTTCCTGTGATTGATCTGCGAAGCCCCAGCAGAATCTTCGTTCTGTTCGGCGGAAGGAGATCCATCACTAGTCAGCTACAGAGAAGAGGGGTTTTGCTGTCTGTGCATTTTCCAGTGTGGTCATTCTCTGTTCATTTCAAGTACTGGAACTTATTCAGCCAACAGCCCTGTCAGCTGTGTGCCATGCCCTCCCCGGACTCATCCGTCAGTTTCAAAATCATCATGTGGTGCAGGTAGCTGTGGCTAGCACGCTGTCCTCTGAATCCGCCCCTGGGGAATCTCCAGGTGGAATGAAGAAACTGAAGCCATTCACGTCCAGACTTGGAAAACTGTGGAACTAAGGGTTCACTCTGGACTTGGGGGGTTGTCCCTCCATTCACTCGGGGACTTGATTTTCCTTCTTGGCATGGCTCTTCGAGACTTGATGCTTTGAGTGGTGGGCGGACTCGGTGGAAGGGCCCCATCCTGAGCATTCCAGCTAGTGCTGGAGAGAAAGAGGAGACACGAGCAAGCAGAGTGGCTCAGGGTCCCCCCCTCCCGTGGCACCCTCTCACAGTCACCAAGGTGAGACTTCAGCATGAAGTGGAAATTCACAGCAAAGAAAATAAAGACCAAACGAGTGTGAAGCATCAGAGTCGTGAATTCTGAATTCTGTCCTCTAAGGAACTAGAAATAAGAAAGGTGCCTCCTCTCACTGCACCTCCCCCACCCCTTCTCCACCTGGTCCAAAATTCAGTGTCCTGCTCTTCGCTTCCATCCTTCCCTAAGCCAGCACCAGAGCCCAACTACAAGCAGGGTCTGTAAACATTGAGGAAGTCTGAATTACTTGACATAGACTTCTCATTGGCCACCAAGAGATGTAAGACCCGGGTCCACTTCCTAAGGAGCTCTTGGTTGGGAGGAGAAGATACCAATAAGCAAAAAGAGCATAAGGCTGTAGGAAGTGCAAAGAGAAAACAATGACACAGGGTCGTTTGGCAAGACCCAGGAAGACCATGGAGTTTTTAGGGTGGGTCACGATGAAGTGGTCAAGAGACATTGAAGACATGACATCTCGGTGAGAGGAATTGAGTGACCATAAACTCAGAAATTGTCTAGAATGAAAAAAAAAAAGGTTGACAAGGATATAGAGAAATTGGAACACTCCTACACTGCTGGTGGGATTGTAAAATGATGCCACTCCTTTGGAAAATAGCCCTGTAGTTCCCCCAAAAGGTTAAACACAGAACTACTACTTTTTAATAACCATTCTTATTGCAAATGACATAGGGGGTTACATTTTAGGGTACCAATTTTGTAGGCAATGATTTATGCTACTTGTCAAGCCCCCAATACCTTGCTTTATGCCCACCTGTGACTTATCTCCTCCCTCTTATGGGAGACTATCTTCCATTTGATCCTAGTGATTCTATATAATACAAGTACCTTACACACAAAAAGCTTGTACACAAATGTCCATGGCAGCATTATCCATAAAGGCTACAAGATGACGCAACCCAGGTAACCATTGAGTGATGGATGGAGAAACAAAATGTGGTTCATTCCTGCAGTGACCATCGCTCAGCCCTCAAGAGATGGGAGGTACTGGTACAGATTGTGACAAGGATGAACCTGGGCACATACTAGCACAAAGAGGCCCCGAAGAGTGACCACATTGTGTACAATTCCATTGAAATGTCCCGGAGAGGTGCCTTCTTAGAGACAAGCAACAATTGGTGGTTGCCTAGGACTTGAACAGAAATGAGGACTATTTAAAATGAGTGTAGTTTGTATAGGAGTCAATGAGTGATTAAAAAATGTTCTTAAATTTATTGTGATGGTCGCACAACTGTGCACAAAAACCTGCGAATCACGCACTTGACACTCACTTCCCTTATAACGAAAGGGTCGGAGGGTAAGAATGAGGCCAGGTTACCCTACATGGGGAAAGAGTCTGTTGGAGACTTGGGGACTGTAAATCTAGAGATCGGTTGGGGCCTGATTGTGGAGACCTTTGAAGTCTGTGGTGTCTCTGGGTAATACAGATGGTTACCGGCTTGACTGATGAAGAAAATGCATGGTAGTCTACCTCCAAAAAATTGACCACCGAAACCCAGAGGGGCACAGTTCTCTGACCGGCGCGGAGGTGCCATGAGTCGACATTGACTCAATGCAACTGAGGTTTGGGTTTTTTGAAGTCTTGGTGTGAACTTTGGGGGGAAAGCTTCCTCTGCGAATAGAGGGCTCCCAGGTGATCAAAGGAGCATCGGAGCCCCTGGAGTAACGAAGGTAAAGAGCCGCTTTTCAGGCAGAGCTCCTGAGGGCTTTGCAGTTGACTTGAATCCTGGGTCTCCCAGGTGGGGATGAATCATGGTGGGCTTCCAAGTCATATTTAAACACAACATGGCTTTCAAGGATTATCTCAAGGGATGAATGCTCTATGGAACACCCTGTAGGAAATATTGGCCTAGAGCAATGGCGACATCCTGGAGTTTCTTGGATACGGAGGGACTAAGATACAAGGA